AGAGTTGCTGCCGTGCTACTATTAAGCACACATTTTTGTGATCTTAGCAATATGTAGCCAAATAAAAAAATAAAAATTTATTTTAGTATATAAAAAACGTACAGTTTATAAAAAAATCAATTATACAATAAAATTTAATCGATATGAACGGTGATATTAAATTAATACTTTCTTTGATCGGTAGAGTTAGCCGCAAGGTTAGCATTAGATTTATATAAATGGTAAAGTTTTTTGCCATTATACTGATTCTTTTTTTTTTTTTGCTTCGATCCAATCGTTTGAATCGTAAAGTTACCGTGTAACAGTGGTAAAAAACTAGAAATCTTAGAGCAAGATCCTCTTATCCTGCAGACTGTTAATGCCATTGTAGAATTATCCCGATTTAAACTTGGTACAATATCCAATAATCTTACACAGCTTTTGGAGGGTGTTTCGCAGGTAATGGCGTAATAAAATCTTTGTATTTTTCTTTTTAATTATTAAAAACATAACACTTATTTTATTTTCATTATCTTTGATTTCGTTTGGTTTAAAAGACAACGACTATAATATCTGATATCCCCATGGAAGTTTTACAATCCCAATTATTTATCCTAAAAATCTTATCTGCTTGTACTACTCACCATTGGAAATTTTACCGAGGAACTTTACAAAAAGAAGTGGATACATTGTCAAAAAACTCTCCAGAAATTTCCCCAACCTCTCCAACTGTACATAATGAAATTCCACCCGTAACTAATAATCAACAACCCGCTCCTCCTACCTCTAATTATAATGGCAATGCAAAAAGCTTCAAACCCCCAAAATCTTGGGATGATCCGCCACAGCTAGAAGAAGCTTTGGCAACTTACATTTTAAACGTTTTATCTAAATTTCTTATTTTAATGGCTAGTCACGATGATGGTATCCCAGGTGGTGGGACCACGATTGTTGGTGTTGCTTCTGAAATTATTAGTGAAATTTATAAAAACGCTGGGAGGGTTATTTTTTATATCAGCGCTTCAAATTGGAATGTGGTTTTTTCGAGAATTAAAAATCGAATTTGCCATTTAGCTGCTGCTAATGATCATACGATTGAAGCTGCTGAGTTGAGATTGTTGGAAGTCTCTGATCTTAATTCAAAAAGATTATCTATGGTACTACAAGGTATCTTTTTCAACTTTATCTTATAATTTCTTTGTGTATCTTATTTATATTACATGTTTATTAAATATATATATAATATATATATATGTGTGTGTTTTTTTATAGAATTATGTGATTCTATAAGCACTTTAAGGAAACCTGCTCAAATTGTAATGGCTACTGTACTTCGTAAAGCTATTTGGAACTGGATCGAAGTATTCCCTGCTGAGTTTGTTACTTTGTGTCAAACCCAAAAACGAATGGGCGGTAATCCTGAGAGACTTTTTGAGATTTGCAATAATTTAGTCTCCAATAACCCTAATGGCATTAAAGCATTCTGGCCATTGCAAACTATGCTGTTGATTTTATGCCCTGATCTTTTGTTTAGTGCTGCTATGCATGATAGGGCCTCTAATTCAAATAAAAGGGTATGCTGATTTTTAAATCATGCCAAAACGGCTAAAGGATTAAATTTATTATGGTGACATCTCCGGTAAAGTTTCCGCAATCACTGATCTGTGTCATGTGATCACGCTATTCGGCCGAATTTACATGTAATTTTGGCCAAATCATATGATCACATGACACACTGATCAGTGTCGCAGAAACTTTACCGGAGGTAAACCTATAATAGACTATAATCTGATTTTCAATTATTAGAATTGAAGATAAGAAAATATTATGCTTGTTATTAGCAATAGTATATTTGAAAAATTTAAAGAGGAATGTGAATTGTGCTATGATAAAGCTAAAAAAAGTTTGATGGATAAAGTTGGTAAACAAAATTTATGAAAGGCCAAAGAATGGGTTAACAATTGGGCCAACAAATAGTTATTAGTTAGCTTATATGCAAACTATAGAATTTTAAAAGAAACAATTTAAATATATAATATTTATTTAAATAACTTAATGATTGTATAATTAGAAAGAGGGAAATTACATATAAGGCCCGAAAAATGCAATTAATTACAAACAGGGTACAAAGTGAAAATAATTGCATATAAGATCCTAAAATTTTGATATATCACAATCAAGGATTCAAATTTATCGTAACTAATTAGATTGCTTTAAAATTAATTTTCTTTTAATAGTAAAACGTATTAGTTTTTGATTAGTATTTCTTATTCTCTTAGCTTCTTGCATGTAATTAGTATTACATTTATCCTCTTAGCTTATTGCATATAAAAATTATAACCACTTTTACTAATTATTAAAAGTAATTTAACTTTTCCTACGAATGTGAATGAGCTGTTGCGGTTCTAAATATCTTCGATTAACGTGTAGTAACCTTCGCGAATATGATTCACTAGTTTGGGTATAAAATAGACATATTGGTTTAGAACTGAACAAACATCACAATATTGATAAATATCGTGTTTAACCTAGTCAAACTGAATCTTGGTTAAGAAAATTTTTCATTAAGCGAAGGATATAGTATAAAATCTATAATGTAATATATATACACAGTGATAACCAGTGTAGGAAATCTGATGTTCTCAATGTTCTCTGAAAACATTAATTTTCCAATCTTTTATTATAATCATATAAAAAAAAAATGCCTGAGAACATTAAAATCAATTTAGATTTCCAACACTGGTGATAACGGTCAAAAAATCCGCTATCAGCCAGGGTTGGCAATGGAGTTCAATGGAGCCCAATGGAACTGTGAATGGAGCGC